GTGTGTGTGTGTGTGTGTGTGTGTGTGTGTGTGTGTGTGTGTGTGTGTGTGTGTGTGTGTGTGTGTGTGTGTGTGTGTGTGTGTGTGTGTGTGTGTGTGTGTGTGTGTGTGTGTGTGTGTGTGTGTGTGTGTGTGTGTGTGTGTGTGTTATATATATATATATATATAAACAGAAGTCATTCGCTTGTTCCTGCAGAAGTCATTCTCTTGTTCCTTTCAAGGTACAACAGATATGGATGCTTAAGAAACAAGCTAGTGCATCCTAATGATGTATATATTACATACCAGGTTCTTCATCAGGCTCTGGAAGCCCCTGCAAGACTCTTTTCTCATACTCTTCAAACTGCGTCTCCAGTCTGCTGGCAAACTCTTCCCGGCTCTCTCCCAGCAGAGCCCTCAGTTTCAACTCCTGTGTATGATAAATATAATGGCTATATCTCACTAAGTCAAATCTTAAGATTCTAAATTCATTTTTATCAGTCATTTATTCTTTGTGTGAGACCAATTTAATGTAATGGGCAGGAGACATGTCAAACTGTATATGAATCAGGACATTCTTAGGCCTTTTTAAAAAACCACCCTAGAGAAACAACATCATATTTTTAAATTTCATCTTATTATAAAACACCTTATAATCTTAACAGTCTAGAATTGTAGTATTTATCTTAAAAATTAACCCAAGAACTGGGGCTCATCTTATTACACAACAACTGCAGGTAGTTCCTGAGGGTTTGTACCCACCCTAGCTGCCTGTCCCAGGAATGCAGCCATGTCGTCCACTTTCCCCTCTTGTCTCAGTCTCTTCTCCTCCTGCCTGTGTTTGACCAACAACCTCGTCTTGTCTTCTGTGGTAAACCTGAGGCAAAGAAAGAAAAACACAGCCTTGAGTCTCAACAGATCTAATATGTTATAACAATTATTCTTGACTTGGGGACAAAGGGGTCATCCATTTTAATCATCATTTTCACAAGTCTTCATAGTATATGCTGGGGGATGGAGGGGAGTGGAGGGGGTTAATGTATTGAAATATAATAGACATGTTAGCCCAAGTTTCAGTCAAAGGTCATCATTTTTAGCTTTTCACTTTGTTCTCTCTGAAGCATACCCAAAGCATTGGGTCTTTAAATCAACTTTCATCTAAGTTCTTATGAGAAAATGTCAAATATATTACAAAATAAATCCACTCACTCTTTCCACTCCTCCTGATGTTGTAACTTCAGGGCAAACACCAGCAGTCTGTCCCTGAGAGCCTCGTATTTCTCCTCCAGGGCTGCAATGTACTCCTTCTCCTCCTTACTGGCCTCAAAGGTCCCCAGAACCAGTGTGGCGATGTTGTCGTAGTGCTCCTCTATGCGGGCCTTCCTCTCGTGTTTACGCATTTTGTTGATCTCTTCTGAGGTCTGTGGAAGAAAAATATCAAATCTGAGCACATGCCAGAATTTTGTGTAGTTTCAGTCAAATTGTATTTTTTTTTTTTTTGATGGATTGGTACTGACAGAAATACTGAACTGTTACACCCCTTTCTCAGACTAACTAAAAGCCTAGGGCAGTTGGTAAACATTTCACTCGGTGGTTTCACTTGAACAATGAATACTATGTTGGTCAAAAATAAGTTTTCATTCAAATCAATTATAATTGCATATAATACAATTCTTTAAGAGTATTAAGTAAAACTTAAGTGTCTCGACATACATGTACCTAAGATGTCTCTTATTATTATTATGATACATAAAATGTATATCCCAACTGAATTTTAAACAAAAAGAATAACAAAATGACCAGGTTCTAAATGAAATAAGAATGACAATTTGACTTTCCCCCTACCCTGTGTTGCATCTCGGCTATAATTCTCCAGAATTCTTCGTCTTGTTCCAACTGCAGACGCGCCAGGAGGATGCCATTCATCCTGTCCTCGTCTTCCAAATCATCTCTCCTGGCAGACAGCTCAGATCTCGTGTCTTCTCGATAGATGGCGACACCTGCAACATGAAGAAATTGATTATGGGGGTGAATATTTAGCAGCGGAACAAAATAAAATCTTCAGTGTGCAGATAGTTTATGTTTTTATTATGTTTGATGTCGGAATACCATTTTTATTAATGAAGTCATACTTTACATAAAAATGTGGCACTTTCAAGCAATTTCATCAAATTTACATTTCTTAATTTATATTAGACACACACACACACACACACACACACACACACACACACACACACACACACACACACACACACACACACACACACACACACACAGTGTCACTAAATATGATGAAAAAGTGATTCATTACTGTCTTGAGGATTACTAAATTCTGTAATGTTTTTTTCAAATATTGTAATCAAATCTGCTGTAAAGTTACCGAGCTTACCTTCGTGTAGAATATTGACGAGCACAGCATGCTGGGAAGATCGATATTCAGCGGTGCTCCGACTCCAGCTATCACGCTGACTACGCAGAATTGTAAGCCTCTTCTTTCGCTCAATGGTAGAAAATTTCTTGGCTTCCATTTTGTATGATTCTGCTTGCTTGCCTTGTAGCATTTGAAGCATCATCTGGACACAAATTACGAAAGCACAATGTTATTGCTTTCTCAATGTTTCTTTGGGAAAAAAGACAGTAAACCTCAAGTTTATCTACTACATCTATTTTTAATTCTCTTTCTAAACACCTTTAGTTTGTTAGATTATCCAATTGTGTCCAATTATGTCGAGGTCAATACAACCTATATTAAGTAAGCCAAAGAACATTTGCTTGTATGTATCCTTAAACCATATTTGTGCACAGACCATAGGTAAATAAACACCTTTTCTTGGAATTTGCCAGAAAATTCTTTTTCAAAGTTCTTTATATTGATTCTGTCAGAAAAAAAAAGTACACTATGGCATTCAAATACCTATCACATTACCTCTCTCTCCTTGAAGTGCTTCTTAGAAAGCTCTGCCACAGTCTCCACCTGGAGGTCAACCACTCCGGGAGATCTCCCCTTCCAGGGGTCAGCACTAGTCTCAGCGACCTTCTGCGATTTGCGCCCCTTTCCTAGCTTTATCCTCTCATCAGCCAGCGCTTCCTGGCGGGAGTGATCGACATCAAATCTGTAATGAATTTTTTTTTAAAACTAAGTAAAAAGTCAGATGAATGCAGTCACTATATTCTAAAAACATGGTACTAACAATGGAGCTATTAACATAAATGCATACAATATACTTCTTGATTAATTATTTTTAACCATGTACATAAGTAACAAATTGCGATTGAAAATTCAATTCAATTTGCAGAAAGGAATTTCACATGTTGACAGCTTCGGCATGTTGTTTTCTCTCATCCAGACCAACATTATTTTTAGCCATGCAATTAAATAACAAATTGCGATTAAATTCAACAAAATTGGGAATTTTACCCGTTCTCAGCATCAGCCTGTTGTTTTCTCTCAGCCAGACCCACGGCCAGCGCTGAGATGGCCCAGGGTTCTTCCTCTCCCAGTATCGAGTGCTGACGTAACAGCTTACAATACTCTAGCAGCAGAAGACTGGACGAGATGTGGCCATCTTTGTTAGGCTTGGCCAGCTCCAGCAGGCGTTCTCTCTCCTGGGTGTAGCGAGCGTGGAGGGAGACGAGGAGATGAGCACTGGTTGTGGGACCAACTGAGAAGAAACAAGTGATTCCAAGATAATACCTGATGCTTTTTAACGTCACTGGGTACAGGAAATTAAAGTGTTTCTAAAAAAATTTGTTTCAACAATTTATTTAAAGTAATTTGTTTCACTTTACTTTAAGAGGCTGTATGCAGGAAATTAAATAATTATCTAACTTTAAAAACCTCTACACCTATAGAATATGACTAGTCTAGTAAAAACCTAAAAATATCCATGAAATTATACAAATAAAGGACTAAATATAGTTTTTTAAACAGAATATTTGTTGTTGTAGTGGTTGCATCAAGAAAATAATTACAAATGCAGATTTTCAGCCATATAAATTAATATAATTAACATATGTTTTTTTCTTTCTAAATCTAAAAAGCCATATCTCTCACCCTCTAGGGATTGCCTGTATTCTCTCTCCAATATGTCATGGATCTGATCCTGCAGTTTTCCCTCTGCCACCAGGTCCATTCTCCTCCTATCTATTTCCACCACATGAGCTGCATGTTTACTGAAATTGGAAATACTTCAATCACACAGTGCTTCCAAAATCAATTTTGATTTTCTTTAAAAATTGTTGAAATGGATTATCTAAAATACAAAATGCAGTAAATAAGTAAATTTATTTTCAGTGTGAAAGTCTATTTATTTTGCTTTATTCAATACCAGTAATGTCCATTCTTGCTCTACTTCACGTGGAAAAGAAACCAGAGCAAAACTATGCTATTTTCAAGTGACTTTTTAAAAATAAACACAGCATCTATGCACTTCTTTCTAAAGACTCCTTTATTCAAAAAATTTCTTCTGAGTAATCTTGTATTATTTTTCTACCTATCAGTCTCTCCCATGATCATCAGAAGTGTTGCATCCTGGGTAGTTTGTCCACCATGCAGCTGATGAGCCATGGCTTCTAATTGGTTATCTTTGCGCAGCTGTTTCTCACGCACCTTCAGGTGCTGGAACTGCTCCAAATGCTCACTCTCTGACATGGAGGACCACAAGGCATCGCCTGAGAAAAGTTGTTTTCAAATAAATATGAGTGTTTACGTTATAGTACTTTTGAGAAAAAAGTTGTGAAAAAAAAAAGCTTTTAACTTTGAAAATTATAATTACAAGCTGCAGCCAACTTTCAACTGAATTATGCTGTGGTCTTTGGTGGCAATGGAGCCTGATCCCACGCAAAAGCAATCAAACATATAAAACAATAATGTACTCTTACACCCGATGTTCTACATACCAACACAATCAATACAAAAATACAAGGCAATACATCCTTGGCATGTAGTATATGACTAACAGCTTACCAATGTGCATTTTAAGCATGGTCCAGAACAGCATGTCTCTGAGGCGGTCATACTTGTAGTCCAGGGCGTCCAGTAGCTCATTAATGCTGACACTGTGCCGCTCCCTCTGGGGTCCCTCATCGTCATAGCGATCAAGGCCGTCGTCATGGAGGAGACCTTTCAGTCCCTCCTTCTGCCATCTGGTGTAGACCACATTCAATAAATTAAATATAAAACAGGACACTGAAGTTTTATATTAGAGTTTAATGTTTTTATCCTTCTCCAGAAAAGGAAGCCCACATGTAAAAATTGGGCAATATAAACGTTTTTTTTATTAAAGACAATGACCTAATTTCAGAACAAGGTGCACTTCCCTAAAATGGGACATTTTGTCCACTTTGAGTTGTAAGTCAAGCAACAGTGCTTTTGAAGACATTTCACTGATACATCAAATGTCAAAGTAAAACATTTTCATGCCAAACTTTATGCATTAAAATCCATATTTTAAACTGTTTATTTTTCTAGATCTTCAGCCATCTCATAATATATACCATCAAATGTGAGTAACATTATATTCACTACACAAGACTTGTATGTTATTCCTTACTTGTTCAGCTTTCTTCTGGCTTGTTTGAGTGTTTGCTCCCTGTAATTTTCACGTTCTCTGGCTTCTGTTGCAAGACTGTATTCATCTTCCTAAAACGACAATTGAAACGTGCTGTTGAAATGAGAAATAAAATATGAATGCATGTGTTGGGATAAAAGTCTGTGTTTGGGTGCAAGCGTGTGTGTGTGTGTGTGTGTGTGTGTGTGTGTGTGTGTGTGTGTGTGTGTGTGTGTGTGTGTGTGTGTGTGTGTGTGTGTGTGTGTGTGTGTGTGTGTGTGTGTGCATATCTACGTACATTAAAGAGAAATTGGATCACAGAAACTAAATACCAATACAACTTTCAGTCACTTGTCAATTTTGTTACTGTCAGTATTTGTTACTGCCTAATACATGAAATCAAAAAAATTAAATGAAATGACCTACTAGTACTTGTAAAATAAAACTCAGTCTAATTCACAAGCATTTGAGTGATCCCATTCTCTCACCCCTAGTTTCTTAGTATTCTCAAACTCGGCCCTGTCCTCCTCCCTCTGTCGCTGTTCCAGCTCCTCCTCTGCGGACTGGTACTCGTTGCTGGTACAGGGTTCTCCAGAGGGCCGGTTACACAGCCACATCTTGATCTCATCAAAACACACATCCTTGTGCTGGGATGTGGACCTATGTATGAACAAAACAAAAAAGTTTTTTATCTCTTTAAATTAATTTAGCTTAAACTTTTAACTGAGCAAAGAATTACTACTAGTAATTATTTAAACACAAACACACAACGCAGGCTTAGAAAAGTTTCTTGGTTGATTACTTAATTACAGTGCACTAAACTAAAACCAATTACGATTTTTTCAAGCTCAGAGACGTGTATTGGTCCTTTAGTAACTCAATGCAAAAAAAAAAGTTCTTTTTCATTCACTTAAAGGAGAGGTAAAGTTTTGTACCCCATACTGAATTCCCTAAGACAGACGACAGAACAAACTCACCTTGATGCTAAGAACTGCTTCCAAGTATGCAGAGAAAACTTCTCCCCGTGTGTGACTTTGAACAAGAAGAGAGCATCTTTCAGAGATATCCTGTTATTGCCGTTGCAGTCCAAGAGTTCAAACTCCCAGTGTGCGTGTTCCTCCACCTGTCGTCTCCTGTCTAGCTCTCTTAACACCTGGGCAAAGTACTCCTTGTATACCTTGTCATCCTTGCTTTGACATATCTAGAGATTAAAATTTAAATATATAAAACCTAAGCAAAGTATTCCTTGTAATAGCTCTTTGTAAAATCTTGTACTATTTGCTTTGACACTTTTGAAATATAGAATCATGCCTGTGATTATGATACTCCATCCTGACTCCATCTCTATCTCCAGTCAGTGTCAAAAATATAATAATCAGTATTGAAAGATGTTGCAGATAAATAATTTTAGACACTCAATTTGTGTATTTTATAAGGCACATACCTCTAAAATGGCTGCCTGTACATGCTGCTTGGATATAGGAGTAAAGTTGAGTGTCTGATGAAACTGCCTTATCTGCTCCAGGACTAGGTAGCCATTGCCAACGGGGTCCAGAATATCGAAGATTGCACTCAGGTCTGGCATCCCCATCTTGTTTACTTATGTGTGGACGGCCAGTCTCGCTAAAACCTACCAGAGAGCCAAATAAGTGATACCTTAAATCTTTTACTGAAGTGACAGACACAATGTTTATTTTGGCGACAAATTTGCATCCCAAATAAATAAATAAATGTAATATAAGTCCCTCCCGTGTCTTACTGTCACTGTACTCGTACTGTCCTGGAAATTAGTCTGTTTTGCTCAAGTTTTGCTCGCAGTTACTTCGATACCAGTATTTGCTAATATATTAATTAATACCAGCCAATTCTTCATAAATGACACTAGAATGCTGTGTAGTGCTCACCTTGTTCAGGACCAGCCTGTACGAAGGCTAAAAAGAGAAATAAACATTTTCAGACCACTCGCCGAGAAGAATGTGTACACTCTGCTAAGGGCCTGTATCACGTGATATTAACTCCGCATTTGTAATACTTCCACGTCTCATAAATATTCATTAGTCTAAAAAATGCACCATTATGTGTTGATATTTATTATTTGTTAAAAAATTTCATTTTAATTATCTGGATTATTTTCTGAATAATACTATTCTAAAATTTTCATATGCTGGACTAATTACTCCGTTACTTAACAAGATGTCCGCGCCCTGGTGCGAAAATGTCAAGATGGAATGGACCAAAACATTGAACAAATACACATCGAAGAAACAAAGATTACGACCAAAATTAGTAGCAAGTATCTCAATGGATATATTGGCTGTAGATGTAGGGATAAAACCATCATTTCTCTTTGACTATTGGGCAATAACAGCTACTGAAATGACGAACCTTCTCAAAGAATTAAGGGACTCGGGACTAACTCAACACAAGCTTCAAGTTTTAGTATTTAATCCACCGGAAGAAAAGAACAGTATGGGCGATTTTGTACCAGATGTATTCATATTCGATAGAAATTCCACTGTTGACTGGTTAAACAGCGTATTGAATGGTGGCAGCCCGGTTACTGTTGTGGACGTATCCAAGGAAGTTGGACGACCCGTGGTGAAAATCGACATTACGGACATTACGGAGCAAGTGGGTGGAATTATTACCCATATTCAGCTGAGCAGGGAATTTGATGTGGTGGAAATTCCTACCTCTGCTGAGTGGAATTTGACCACATTATCTGGGGTTCTTTTGGGGTACCCGTTCTCATACTGGTACCACCCACCTTCCCCTGACGCTGATAACTGTCTGGGTTATACACCTCAAGTGAACTATCAGGTGACCTGTAAGATGAACACTGACGGTGCCATATCAGCTAAGAAAGAGCTTGTGGATCATACTTTGTATTCTTTCAGCATTCCCCACAGTGTGAACAGTGAAGAAACGATTAATTTCTGGTTTAAAAGTTTGCAAGGGAAATTCCAGAGACAGAATATATTTTTAGATCCTTACTTATCACACAAAGATATTACTCTTCCATCTGTGGCTCTTTAATTAATTAAATGTGTCAAATTGGATTTTTAATATTTTTAATGTGTTTATAAATTATAGCAAGTGCAATTGAGTAAAAGAGCAAATAATTTAAAGCTGAATTTTGATTGTTTTTGTTTTACTTCATTCTCGTGGATTTTTTAAAAAATATATCTGTGAATATGGGTTTTTAAACAAGTATTGTTGTTTAAACAAGTGCCATGTTAATCCAAAATTTAAGAAAAGCAGAATATGTTCTGACATTTTCATTCAAGGAGTAAAGCTTGGCATTGAATTTTCATCTTTAATATGTATAATTATTTAATAATCACATTTTTTATATTGAATAAATTAAGACTTCACCTTGTAAGATGAACAATAAAATGACAAAATGTTTGAGAACTATTCCGATAATAGAGAGAAAACTTAGACATCCCGAAACATCCAGAAGGTCAGTTAGGGCATCAAATTATGGTTACTGCCTATATTTGGCACAAAATTTAATTGAACAGCAAATAGAAAAGTCTACCTTGGTGTTTAATTGAGCTAGATTTATTCGCAGTCATGCATGAGCCCACTGTGTGCGGTAAACATGTTGAAGTTGACTGGTGTCATGACCTCCCATGATGATAATTTACAATGTCTGCTTCTTGAGTCTGTTTCCATGGATGTTTTAAACACAGTTATATATCTTTCATGTACATATAAAAGTTTGTTTTAGGCTTAAAAAAGAAACTTTTTTTAAGCTCTGTTATATCTTTTGTTCACACAAAAATGTGTTTTATGCTTAAAAAAGAAAATTTATGCTCAAATTAAAGAAATTCTTGTGCTTTACAAAAGAAAATTTAAGCCCGAAGTATAGAAATGAACTGACATCAGAAGCTTCGAGGTAGATTAGCTTTAGAGATAACTGATGCACAGCTACGTGTACTATTCTCTGGTCAGTGTTACAGCTTACAATTTAACATCAAGTCGTGCCGCAGTCTAGTTTAGTTGAAAAACAAAGCTTACACATACGACAAATAGAGACCACATTCTAGTACTTTATTGAACACTGCTAAAGATCTGTATTTTGCATCTATTAACATCCCAAAACTATATAGACTAGTTTGTTTCACAAAAATAAATAAATAAATAAATAAATAAATAAAATAAATAAAAATAATAATAATAAATAAAATGGGATAAATAAATGAATGGAACAGTGTAAAATGAAATGAGAACAACATTGAAAGTACGGCTCATTTTTCATTGTTTTTATTTTTTTAAACTATACCATCCTTAATGACCACATTATCCGAGTTAGGAAAATAATGCACGTTGTGAAAGATTTTTTTTTAATCGGGTGGTTGCTATAGACGGCAAATCTGTTGCTAATACAGTATGTTTATATAAGTCCAGTTTGCTCGATCAGTGAGCTAAGATTGTCGTAATGCATTCTTCTTAAGCGCCGTACCCAGCAGTAAAACTAGAGTCAAATTTCAGTAAACTGTAAAGTTTTGCAAATTACGGTGTGAATTTTACATTTTTAAATGCCTCTCATAAAATATATCAGCCTTCACAGTCAGAATACATAATCTGTTAGAAAATAAGTCGTTTATACCAAACAGTCAAATATCAAAGTTCCCCTTTTTTGTTCAAAATTGTATATCAATGAACAAAGACAAGTGATATTTTTGCTTGATTTTCACCTTTCTTCTCAAGTCTGTATATACTCCCTGATGTGATTGACAAGGATTTCATATTCGGAGGCATGTCTGTATTTTCCTTGCATTTTGTGAAGATGTTCCTTCGACTCACACCCGGCCCAGTTGTGCAGTCTGCCACACGGGTTTTGCGCGCCGGAATTGGGGCGATTTGCGAAGTGAATCGGCAGAGAGTTGTACACCTTGGACGTCGGTGGCGTTGCGGCGTCACGCGCTTCATTTCTATACGAGGTGATTTTGCCGTTGATGGCGGCACGAAGGCGACGCCAGTGAGGTTTGGAAGTTGAGACAGGACTGGAAGAGCAGCCTTTTTTCAGTATTGGCTTTTGTAAGAAAGTTGAGATTTTTCTTTCTAAATTTTGCCTGTTTTCTACCTCCTTCAGTTTCAGATCTTGCAAAGACGCGGTAACAAGTTGGACAGCTGAGGCGTCATTTTTATTTTTGCTACTCGGCGGAGAGGGAACCAGCGTTTTCTTTTGCGCCATCTTTTCCACCTTGCCTCTAGGGTTTACCTTTTGAAAACGCGAGGAGTCAGTTCGTTTGAACTTCTTTTGGTGAATGTTGGGAATTTTGCAAGTCTGAACAGAGTCACTTGATATCGATAACCTGTTAATTGGAGGAGCCAAAAGTTGGCGATTCGACGCTGGGCTCAGGATTTCCTCCACATCAGACGCCGAATAAGGTCTTTCAGGACGACAAGGAGTTAACTCAGACACGTCTTCAATGTTGGCAAATTTCACTGTGCGCTGGAATACAGGCGGGCAACTTAAAGTGCCGTCATTTTCGCACCCAGTCGATTTTGTGATGACGACTTTGGGGCGACGAGGTCTTTTCGGCAACAGAACTTCGTTGTCCGGAAAGCTACGAGCACGCGCAACTTGCGGTCTCTTAGTTTTACCTGTATGTGAGGAGGCTGAATTCTTCCTAACTTTGTGCTGTTCGTTGACGCAATTCTCCGTCTTTTTCTTGCGACTAGCTTCAAGAGTTTGTGCTTTGTTCGACAGCATGTTTGTACGCACTCTGGAGGCAGATGATAATTTGTGCCTTGTCTGTTTTTCCAAAGTTTTTGTGCTTGCCATTACACCAGAAAGCAAAAACGTTTTTCTTTTACTCTGTAAATTCGTCACCGGTACGTTTACTGGAAGAATTTCATGTCACTGCGCTATAATTCAGTATCTCATAACGCAAAATGGCTCGTTAAAAGTCCACTGGCGAGTATGGTATATTTCGGATATTTCACTGCTGCTGTATGTTAAATTCAACGTCTTCACCCTGATAAGGTCGCTGCATAATGTATGGAAAATGCCACTTTTTGTTCTTTTAACGCATAAAATACACGGCTGAGTTTATGCATATAAATGGTTCATTATAAGGCCCGAGCTGCCAGAATCGCTGCATGTTCGCTCTTTAAGGCCGTGATGACGCATTCCTTACATTATCACGCTTTATCAAAACAAATCAAGCACTTTAATTTTCTCGTCTTTATAGGCACCAAGAGGTTTTTATGTCCATTTTCTGCAACTCTAGCGCGCAGTCACTCCTGAGTATAACACTAGGACCTGGCCAAGGTTGGCTTAAAGTACAAGGTTTTAACTCTTCTTTGGCCACCTTTTCTGGACAGCGTCCGCCCTTATTTATTTGGGCCCATAATCGACTTGTCGCCGATGGCCAAGGCCTCGAGTTTGAATTGGAATTCACATTGTTCTTTAAGCTGCTGCGAGATTTATAACCAGAAATGTATGACGCATTTTCACTGCACGTTTTTTCGTTCCTGCCTGGTCCTAACGCGCGCTGTGCTCTCTGGCGTTGCCTGTCCACAGTGGCTCTCTGACGACTGCACTAGTAGACCTTGTTTTGAGGGCATGGTTGATCTTTAATTAACTTGTTTGTCTTTTCAGACTACGTGGTATTTAGTTGGACGCGTTATTGTTGTTTACGATGCTACTTTTGACCTTTTCTGAAAATTGTGCTGAAATAGCAAAGGTTAATTTGGAACTGTTCTAAGAAACTTTACCATTAAAGAAAACAAACCGTTACATCAAAGTTAGATGTTAAAACGTATGTAGATGTAAAAATAGTAGGTAGTCTTTGTTTGTCATTGCGGTTGCTATGCAACACACCAATGTTGTTCTTAGTGGCGATTGCGTTTTCTTAGAACGCACTCTTTGCCATTCCAAAACTTTTCTGTGCCCGTTGTATCCATTTTACTTCTACTGAAAATCTTTTATATAATTACTGAAAATTTTAAAAACTGCCGACCATGTAAGAAAAATAAAACCCATATTTTTATTTAATCAGTAGAGTCCACTGCATATTTAGGCCTACTTAAAATACAGGCCAAGTTCTAAGGGATTTTACCACCAGTATGAAAGAAATGCACCTGTCTCGGACTTGTTCTTACAGCTTTGAATACTTCATTATATACTCTTTATTCAAATGTAACCAGAGGCCGTATTCTTAAAATGTTGTAACTTACAGATTCTTGTAACTTTTCACGTAAACCCGATTGTTGTCGTAAGTTGGTATTCTCGAAGGTTTGTAAGCAACAAAGTTTCGAGAATAAGTCCCCAGGAGTCGATGGTTTTTTGTGACGTACACAGTTCAAATGTTTAGTATTGTTCTGACTACTGAGTTGAAGGTGAAACTAATTTATGGATATACCTATTTTATCAGGAGAGAAAGAAGTGACTTTAAATAAATAAATAAATAAATAAATAAAAAACGAGCTATTTGTTTCATGTGCCATCAAAATATTGGCAAGTTGAATCTATCAAAGACCAATAATCAATATCAACAGAAAAGCCCCTAAAAAACTGCACTTGTGGTTAAATTTCGTCAAACCTGCGTGTAAAGCAAGTGCTAAACACCCTTTTTAAGTCCTAGGTCCCCAGAAGCCATTATACTCCGAAACTACCTTATCAGGACGTGTGTTAGGGGTAATTACGACTGGAAGTCCGAAGGGCAATTGCTCCCACGGCAGTTTTGGTCAACCGCACAAAGGTCGTCTGCTGCGAAAACGCGTCACTTGATTTGAGAATTAAGCCGGCTGGTTAGACTGAGTCTGCGCTGTGAGATGGAATCTCTGACGCAGGGGTGGCTGGGATAGTGTAATGTCTTTGAAAGCAATGAACCAATTTCAATAGTTTTGGTTCAGTTTTTAGATTGACTAGGAGACACATTGCATGTGTCCAGTAATAAGTAGTGATAATATATTCAACTTATATAATATATGTCAGAAATATTTGAACACTTTCTTCAGCTGTTTTCAATAATCCAATGGCTACGGACAAATGAAATTCATATTTGTTTTTACCTCAGGCATAGGTTTCTGTCGCTACTCTTAAAAGTGACACATAAAAGTCATTAAAGTTTAACATAACACGAAGAGGTACAAACTTATACGTTGGCATGTACTTAAGACTGATACGATGAATAGTTGATGTACATTATCGCTGTTTCATTTTATCAAACCACTGAAACAAATTGCAAGGTCTCTGCATAATAAGTGGGGGCATAAGCTGAATCTGAATTTACTGAGATTTACTTATACACTGTGCATTTCCGCAAAATGTCCTAATCTGAAGCGTATTTATTACTAGGCTACACAGAGCGGAATCAGATACAGATTTCACAACTCAAATGTAGCTAAATGCCTCAAAAAAACCGACTTAAGAGGTAGTTGAATCGGACGCCATCCAGATAATATTTGAAGAGGGCGTCCCACAAAACGAGGTGGCAAGGACTGTCGTGTATGCCCCCATGTTGGGCACGTACAGCCAGTCTCCGATGTCCAGCTCGGGCATTTGGATATTTTGTCCCAGGCGATCGTCGGGGTTGAGTGTTGAACCCCAGACGTTGCTCTTACGGAAAGGCACCAAGGGTTTGTCCTGCAAAATCAAACCATTAACAATAACATATCATTATTATTTCTCTTTTTCGTAAATTTTTACATTGAATTCATTTAATTCAGGGCAGATTTGGAATTCATTAAAGGTTCAGTTTTTATCACATATCTGTAGGTTCAAGTTGTGGAGGCTTTCTAACAACTATATGAATTTAAATGGTAAATGGTAAAAATACCATTAAGGATCTGGATAGAGAAAACGAGCTATGGTGATCGCGAGCGAAAGGTTTTGTCGCAGTTATTTATATTCATTTGGTAAAAATACCCCAAAGCTGCCCGCTGAAAATATAACTAGTACCAACATTTGTCCCAAAACTTTTTGTCTGATCTACAGTGTACGTGCGTACCTCAAGCAGGCGGAAGTCTGGAACCTTCTTATCATATGTTATTGTCTTACTGAATGCGCCGTGTACCCCATCGTTAAGGTAGTAATCGTATACATGATCCGAGACCTGGAAGGATATAGACACGTAAGGCCGCATTCAGAACATATGATCCGCGGTCTAACTGATGCGGTCGGCTGAGGTGGCGGGGTGACCATCTGGGGATTAGGCGACTTGCTTATACGTGGGGTCACGTCTTATTTAGTTAGTCCGCCGATTATTTGTTCTGAATGCGACCAATGGTAAACAAAAAAATCAAAAAATGTATAATAAAGACACACCTTATATAAGGTAATATTATATTCATGTGTGGTGACATGAAAAAAGTGAAAATATTGTTTTAAAAAGAAGAAAACGTAAGTTCGAATTTTGCTCCTGGATAATGTCAGAGTATTAGAAAAGGTCTTACCCGTTTACCAATCACTCTGAGTACATAAGTGAACGCCGACTGCACGTAGTAGGTCCCGGGTTCCGCAATGACTTTAGCATTTTCTTCAGCTGGAAAATATTCATCCAGAGTCTCATTTATTTTTTTTGCACCTTCGGCGAATGTCGGGTTGCCTTCGGTTGAATAACCGGGGAATCCACCACCGATGTCCAGGAAGTTGAAGTTGAAGCCGATGGTTTTAGCTAAATCGAAGACACGACGACAAAAGATTATGGTGTCCAAGTGGGAATCGACATCGAAACCGGAGCGACCTATTTGAAAACTAAATTAAGGTTATAGTTACAATTTGAGTATTCCTCATTTGTCTATGTTTGCTTAAGCAATACGAGCCTGCATTGAGCGCCAAACGAGACATGGCCGATATAAATCCGTATTGAAAAACAGAAAGAATAAAAACTTGCTAGGCAAAAGCTTTCTCTGATAATGTTTTATCAGTTTGGTTGCAAACGACAAACGGATTTTTGTTTTGTTCCAAAACTAGAGCTTTGTTTTGACATCAAATACACGTACATTTTGTCATTGAGTTGGTGTCAAAACGAAGTAATCGTATGTCACGGTTCTATGTCTATCGGTTTACACGGACGATAGCGATGTACAATCCAAATGAACACATAACGTGGAAGTATACCAGAATGTTTTAAACCAATCAAATTACAGACGTTTCGTTGACTGAACAGTAATTTCAAATTGAACTTATCGGAATTTATCATGAACATCTACAGCCTTTATTTCGTTATGCACTCCTAGCCTCAGTAGGAACAAAACGCAAATGTCCTAGCTTACGTCATGTAGCATTGTTGGATAAATATTCAACTAAAATATTAACGCAGAAAATAACGTGAATAAAAAAACATATTAACGTTTCTGGCTATATATAGATATTCTACAGAATATAGAATAGTGCCAATGGCACAGCGATTAAAGATAACCAAGGAAGTGGTTAAGAAGCTGCTGGATTACCTGACACCAACCACGTTGAGATCCATTTTCTTTGCCTTCATTAGGAGATCTTCGCATTGATCGGCCAGGCACCCGTACTTTTTATCAAGTACGTCACCAGAGCCTCTTTCAAATGGTAAAATCCTTAATACAAGGTTTGTCGTAGGGTTTATACTCTTAATCTTGACTAATTCATGCTCATTGTCAAACACCATCAAATTAATTCCAAATTCAGATGCTGATTTGATATCGTCTGGATCTTTGACTGGGTGGCCATATATAATCCTATCAGTTTCTACCCCAAGCTTCAAAATCTGTTCAATGTCTGAAATGTTGCAGCAGTCAAATCCCGCCCCGAGTGCCGCAATGGTCTTCACGACAGGTTCAGTGTTGTTACATTTCACGGCGTAGAAGGGTTTGACACGTGGCATCAGTTCCACCCAGCGCTTGTGTTTGTTAACGATGTCATCCAAGTTGGCAATATAGAAAGGGCGCTGCAAATTGTTGTTATTGAATTGGTTAAATCTCTGTTTATGAAAACGATACACCTTACAAGCACCTAAAGAATAGGCCTTGTAATCGGTAACAATAATAATAGTAATAGTGGAGCATTAGAATGAATATACGCTGAATATTTTTGCATAAACACCATCTTAATGATATTTAAATTATCAATATTTAATAATATTATTTGATTGTTATTCTTTATCATGAATGACAGACCCATTTTTGAGGGTATTTACTATTGCTTTGTTTTCAAAGTGCCATTCCTACCCTGTTAGCCCCTTCACTTATTTTGTCTTTGATAAGTTGCTGTATTGCCTTTCTGTTATAGTTTCCACGAAGATTTTCCGTGCAGTGGGTCTGAATTGTCGTCATTTTTCAGAGAATGTTCAGAGAAACTGAAATTAATGGTATATTTAGAACAAAGACTTATAAATCATAGAAAATGCCAAATCGCTTGTTAGACAATACGTGGTATGATAATACGTCTAAAGTCCTCAATGGCAATAGCATATTTAGTATTTGTTTGTAGTAAAATGTTTCAGAGATTTAGCTACCAAGTTCAAATTCTTCTACTGCAGCCGGATAAACAATGTAATTAGCCCTGCATTCTAGTGTGCGAATATCTCTAGACTGTGTATAAAATATGAGTTAAAGTATAAGTGTCACAAATGTCGGTACAAATAGGTCTTTTGCAGGTAGCTGTCACGTGACTAGATACCGCGTGACATCGCCATTCTGCAGAGCAAGCTCCTCAGTAAACAAAACAAGTCAATATGGCGGCATATAGCTGCAAAATGCCTGTTGGTTTTAAACACCCTGCTTTCATTAAGGGGCACAAGTCAGTCTAAAACCAGGAGAGTGGCACCGTGGCATTTTCTCTAGGTGAAAGTGATATTTTTCTCCACCTCGAACATCGTCATCCGAGTACTCGGATGACGACCCCGAAATCAGCCTACTGCAGTGTGGGACATACATTTGTCGCAAGGGAGAAGTGAAACAGACCAAAACTTACAATTTGCCCCTTACAGGAAACTGTGTTATGTGTAACTGATCATAAAAGTATGGCCAGTAACATGGAATTTAGATACATTGTACAGGGTACATCTCTTTAGGATAAGATATTGACGTAAAAGTTACCAGTAATTTATTTCAGATAGCCTCCCGGAAGATTCCACCACCCGATCCTCCAAGTGAACGCAAAATCATTGCCAGCATAAACTCAAAGTATGACTTTTTATCATAAAAGGTGATTTCAAGAAAGCATCTGAACTGATTTGATGAACCACCTTCATGATATGTAAGCCTATACCTTCAGTTTTGATGATACTTATGCAGCTTGCTTTATGTGAAATTGCCATTTAACTTACCCTGGACATTGTCACTTGTAACACTGTCAGTCTTGGAAGAGGTTAGTTAATCAGTCAACAGAGCGGGGGTAAGCATCTATCTACCACAGGCCGGCTGAATGATGACGGCAGTTTTATGCGAAGATTCCCACAGTATGGCAAAGTGCATAGAATTAATTAGCTAAAGAAATGACAGCGAATATCTTGTAAAGAGTCAGACTATGACCGTGATGTGTAATGAATACGTATAGCTCATTAAACAGTTTAACATGTGCATATACCGGCATCGCCAGCATGGTAATGTGTTGCAACTGTTTGACAAAAAGTAACCACCATTTAAAGTGTATAATTATTTAAAAGTAACATCCTATTTGTCATGGTATAATAGGAACGTTTGTAGGGCTTATGTTTACAAGGTGTGACGCAAATTATTTTAGTGGCATGAGCAGCAATGTATTTTGAGTGTCAAATGCAATCTTGTGTTTTCTTTTGTACAACCAACTGCGCATGCGTAAATGGTAACTTAAATGCGTTTTATTCAGTTTGACTATATTAGCAGTACAGGAAAATTTGTTTACTTTGTAATTCTCGAATAATCTTGTTACAATTCTTATTTTTGCAATCACATGTACATCGCGCGAGAAGCATTTCAATAAAGAAAATATAAAGGTGATTCACAATTCTGGTGAAAATATTCAAGTTCTGCGTTACATACACCGTTATCTTGGTGAACAGTAGTAATTGAAATGTATAATATATATTATGCCTTTCGCAATATTACACGATTTTCAATTGTGTTTGTTGTGACACCGATCACGGTGCGCCGCAGCATTGCTACTCCAAAATACCCTAGCTGTACATGTGCAACGGCATAAGACGCCTCCATATATCCCCTAACCAATAAACACAATAAAAATCAAACAGCAATTCAATATAGCCCACACGATATCGTTAGACAGTATGAACAACTGTTTATGTGGCAATTACAGATTTGTGAAATAGCAGGAAGTGGAAAGAGGCTTCTTAGTCCACATAATGATGTCTCTTGAAACAGTATCACAAAGAAAGACAGAGACACCTGTAAATGAAACTTAAGCGCCCATCAAACTACTTTTAGTGTAGCTAAGTACTCAAAGAACATACTTACCTGTTCAATCCCGTTCTTGTAAAATATTGATCACCATAGCATTATCTTGCTCGTAAGAGTAACAATTTAATTTATATAGTGCATATATGTAATTTGATAATTTCTTAACTTAATTGATATTTTGTTCACTTCTTGTTACATAAGCATACAGTACTTTTATAAGTAGCATAACTAAACAATGTAACACACAGCATTAAATTATGAATGAATAATGATCAATTATAATTCCTACAGTCGTCAGTGCTGTAATTTGTGCAGAACATCAGCTACTATACTTATAAGATACTTGGACGGCACAGTGCTAGTAGTCTAGTTGCTGCTTTTATTGCTGTCTTCAACCAATACTATACATGAACTCCTTTTGAGGCAAGGCAGATTATGACAAAATGCACTCTGATATCGCAGGGGTACAGCCTGTTGTAAAATTGAAGACGAGGCGGTTCAGCATTTTTGCAACAGGCTAGAAGCGACCCCTGTGGTCTGAGAGAAAAGATAAACCGTTTTGAAATGTGATGATATATAATCAGGTAAAGGCAACATTGGTAAAAGGTTGGATTCTCTAACGATCACGAATGTCACTTGCGCCATTGCGTTTTTGGTGAAACGGGAGGTAGAAGCTCCCTTTGAATAACACATAAAGCGACTTTGACACACAAAAGTCACTTTCATATCCCAAAACAATCTAAATAAACAAAATCCATGTCATATTACGTATGTTACCGCTCATCTAGCCGTATTTCACATTTAGGGACTAATTTTTAGATATCTAATCCTGAACTTACAATTAAGTCTAGCTGTCGAGGTTGCGTCTCTCTCTCGGAGCCTTCGGCCGCTGTACTAATCCTGACCAATTCCTACCCCTATAGTTGGCGAATCCATAATAGCCTACATGGCGATATCCAGGCATTTGATGCGATGACCGGTATAAAGAATATGCCAGTGGTGAACAGTTGGGTTATTTTACCTCGACTGCAATTATTTGAGTTAAGTTCTTTTTATGCACAACATCAAAACTATAATTTGTAGTCTGTCACATCAACAAGAGGTAAAAATACTATATGATGGTGGCGTTTGCAGGTCACAAGGTAAAACTTGACATGTCGAAAATAAACTACATACGATGTTTATCTATGGAACAAGTAATAGTATGTTGTCCCATGACTACCCCAAAGAAGCTGTAAATGGGTTGAAATGATCTAATATTTCATAAAGAATTAAAATATGCCCCAGATGAAAAGTTGGAGACACACGTACATGTAGGACTTTATTAGTTTCATCGCAGTTATTTGTTGCAAAAACCAACAGCTTGGAATTCGATTTTGAGGTTAATTTTTCTAGCACTACAGCAAAATTGCTAGGCCTATGATGGTACATGTAGTAGGACATGAGTTAACGCATGGCATGTGATATGAAATATGGCACAAAGTGTCACATGGACTGGTGCGCCTTTACAGGTTCAGTCATACGAAACGTTCACTCAACGTCAGGGTTAAAGGAGAAATAAAGGCCGCACGTACACTGAACATCTGTTAAAAATAATATATAAAACTAATAACACCAGATTAACTGTTACATTTACACTCTCACACTGTATGAATCGCATGTCTACATAATAATCGTTTTATACAAATGACACCATATTAGACTCTGAACAATGAATCACAACAAACACAATGAATATCAAGCACCAAAACCCACATTTTATCAGAAACCCCTCTTCCACTTTTACTAAGGATCCACTGGTAGTGCCCGTCTCTGAATCGGGAGGATGTGGGTTCTATCCCGCCCGGTGACGTCCCAGTCCTTCATAGCCAGGGGCGGATCCAGGATTATTTGAAGGAGGAGGTAAGGGGGGTCCGCGGATGTGTAGCCGTCCTCAACCGAACCCCTTATCTCCCAGAATTTTGGTGTTTTAGACGACGAACGGTGCCATTTGATACGCTTTAGAACCAGAATATGTTTTAATACGATGGCATTAGGATGCTCCTGATTGTGGCGGGCTGACCCCGCTCATGCACGCCAACTATCGGGGAAGACTGGGAATAGTGAATTTTCTCACCAAACGTGCGCTTTCAATGAAAAGTGGGTCTGTGTATTTAAGAATTTGGGCAACGAAAAGATTTGCTTATGTTAATTGTTTCTGCGTAAAAGATCGTGTTTAGCAATAACTATTCATGCCCTTTCCATTTATAATTTACAAAATTCTGGGCGACTCCCGTTTACGCCACACCGTAAAACATAATATGTTAAATATAGCATTTTTTTCAAAATTCGATATATGCGTGAAAATTATAAATAAAATAACTTTAATATGTTTTCTTTTCTATTGTAAAGTTACCATTAGCTGCACTTTCAGGAAGGTGTGACCTTGAAATACTTGATAACGAGGCTTTCAGAGCGTTAAGGCACTATAAAAACAATCAACTTGCATGATGTTTTTTTAATTGTGCGTGCTATTTGTAGATATATGCAGCCTTTGTGAGAAACTGACAGAGGCAAATCTGTTCTGGGTGCGATGGAAATTACTGGTATATATAAGTAATATCAGAACTCGATCAAAAATAAGATGGAGCAGAAAGGAAGCTTCATAAATGTCAA